CACAGAAAATTGAAGCACTTGTGATCTTTTAATTTCCTCAAAAGCGTAACTTAATAAATGTGCAAAATGCACAAACTTGCTTGCATAATCAACCCTTGGCCTCCCTCCTCAAGTGTCAAGGGAACAAAAAGATAAGAGGTGTTATATTTAAGAAAGATAATGCTAGCTTCTATCCTTCCAAGGGAGGTTGAGTAACTTCTATAGCTATTAAACGCTGGAAGATTGATGTGGGCATGCTCTGCTTGGCTCCTCCCTCTTTTTCTGGAAGCTGCTGCTTCTGGGAGTACACATTCTCTGCCTCTCCTCCATGAATGAGCTCCTGGTTAGCACTGCCTGAGATAGGGGATCAAGTCTGTCCAATTCTGAGGTCCTATTAAGCAGGCCCATGTGGTTCTTGCACTAAACTACACCCTTCATCTTAGTAATGAGGTAATATTTTGGTCTCTTCCTTCTGTTCCTGTTTCCTATTTCTCAGGCAACAGTGAGATGTGATGGTTTTAAAATTAATTGAATGATATTTTTAAACCTATAAAATGTTAATACTTGGCCTGTTGTTTGACCTGGTTGTTTTATAGGGCTTTATCATGGGAAAAGAAAGCCTAAAGAGATTTCTTGGCTCCAGTAGATAATCTAAGATTATCAGGGTTTTATAAAGATGTAGTAGGCCAGGTGTGGTGGCTCACACCTGTAATCCCAGCACTCTGGGAGGCCAAGTGGGGAGGATCACCTGAGGTCAGGAGTTCGAGACCAGCCTGGCCAACAGGGTAAAACCCTGTCTCTACTAAAAATACAAAAATTAGCTGGGCGTGGTGGTGGGCGCCTATAATTCCAGCTACTCAGGAGACTGAAGTAGGAAAATTGCTTGAACCCAGGAGGCAGATGTTGCAGTGAGCGGAGATCATGCCACTGTATTCCAGCCTAGGTGAGAGTGAGACTGTCTTAAAAAAGAAAAAAAAGGTGAAGTAAACCATAGTTCAGTCACCTGTGACCTTAGAAGGCCTTTTCACGGACAGTTATGCATAGTGACTACCCATGATCCCTTCCTGATGACAAGCATGGTGATGACAATGGTGATTTGATGGATAGCTGCCCTTCTTTTATTTAGAGGTCACTATAGGCCAGGCCACATGCTAAGTGTTTTTTGTGCAATATCCCATTTATTCCAACAAGTCTATGAAGTAGGTATTTATCCTAAGTTACAAATGAACAATCCAAAGAAATCAGCTCAAATGACAGAAATCAGGTCATTTGACAAAGATCACACAGTTGGTAATGACTGAGAAGGAACCTGAACCTAGGTCTCTTAGCTTCAAATCTCCTCTCAGAGTTGTGATTTTAGGAGGCCTTCACCAGACTCAAAGCATGCACTACAGTCCACAGTCTCTGTGCTGGGTGACTAATGCGAATGGACCTAAGACCATGTCTGTCTCCATGCTGCCTGTGGGAATTGGCAAAGATGCATTTGTGAGTAGTAAATGAATGGAGCTTTTCTTTTAGTTTTCAGCTCACGCCATATCCCCTAAAACCATAATACTCATGGATACCGTAGTCTATAAAATCAAACCAAAATTACTTACAAGCAATGGAAAAATCTAAGCAGTGGAGTGCCGGTAAATATTTAACAATTCGTTCTCTGAAACAAACAAAAAGCTATAATATGTAGCACCTGCCAATTCTCATGCTGTAAATACTTCCAGCATGGCCAATTTCAAGTTACCAACTTGACAACTCTGAACCTGGAGTTGAGAAGAGATGTATTGAACTGGTTCTTTCCAGCTGGTAGGAGCCCGCTCCAGCACACCACTGAGTCTAAGCAACCCTGTAACGTCATTTGGGGGAAGGAGATGAGAACTAAGCCTCTTCCCATTAATCTGAACCGGCAAATGTGTCTTACATTCATTTGTGTTTTTCTATATCGTGTATATTTATTTCATTCCACGTGTGCCATCACAGAGCTAGAGTACAGTTCCACAAAACCTGTGATGGGAGGATGCAAAGGTCATAGAGAACATGGTCCTTACCTTATACATACTCAGCCCCCTCTAGAGTCACATACCTGAACTCACTAAACCTCATAGCAACCCCGTAAAGTGAGGGAGACAGAATAGTGAGTATTAGTCCAGGCACGGTGGCTCATGCCTATAATCTCAGCACTTTGGGAGGCTGAGGTGGGCAGAGGTCAGGAGTTTGAGACCAGCCTGGCCAACATGCTGAAAACCTGTCTATACTAAAAAAAAACAAAAATTAGCCAGGCATGGTGGCAGGTGCGTGTACTCCTAGCTACTCAGGAGGCTGAGGCAGGAGAACAGCTTGAGCCTGGGAGGTGAAGGTTGCAGTGAGCAGATATCCCACCACTGCACTCCAGCCTGGGTGACAGAGTAAGATCCTGTCTCAAAAAAAAAAAAAAAAAAAAAAAAAAAGTAAATGTTTTAGAGATGAGGATACCAAAGCTTTATGTGATCTGCCCAGGATAAGGGAGCCTATGTCTTGAACCTGCCTCTTTCTCCTAGTCCAGGGACTGTCATTTGCCACTCATCACTCCTCATTGGGGAGTAATTGTAGGGTAAGGTCAATGCTGGTTCCTAAATTTGAGTGTCTCTGGGTTCTGTTTAATACTTTTTCTTCTCTTCTACATAGCAGTTTAAGAGCAGGTTGTAGTCCTTGAAATTCCTTTGGCCTCCATACCCAAAGAATGATTTCCCTTTTTCTACAGATCAAGTTCTGTCTCCTTTCAATAGTATATTTTCAGTACAAAGAATGCAATAGTTCCACAGCTGCTACTCTACTTAGTAAATGCAGTGGAGGCTGAACAAAAACTGGGTTGGGGTAAAAAAAAATTAGGTTGAGAACCACCAAAGTTGATTCTTTTCTCCCATGAGATTTACTGAAAATTCAGGTGAATTACCTTTGTGTGACTAAAAGGGACTTAGGGAAAAATAGCAGAGTTTCCATTAAACAGATTCCCAGGTACCAAAGGAAAATTGTGCACTTGGCTGCACATTAAAAATGGGAACTGCAAGTATTAAAAGAGCAAAGCATCATATTTAATAATCATAAGGCGAGGCTTAATGATAAACTACTATATCTACACATGCACATCATGTACTTGCAAAAAATAACAGACTATTAGAGCAAAACTTAAGGGACTATGAATGCTAATTAGCTAGTTTATCTAAAATGTCTACCTGTTCTTAATTACCTCTTTTTTTTCCCTAAGAAGTAAGCTTGAATCTGGCCTTAATTACTTTTTTTTTTTTCCGTGAGATGGAGTCTTGCTCTGTAGCCCAAGATGGAGTGCAATGGCACCATCTCAGCTCACTGCAACCTCTGCCTCCCAGGTTCAAGCGATTCTCCTGCCTCAGCCTCCCAAGTAGCTGGGATTACAGGCATGCACTACCATGCCTGGCTAATTTTTGTATTTTTAGTAGAGGCTTGGTTTCACCATATTGGCCAGGCTGGTCTCGAACTCCTGACCTCGGGTGATTGGCCCACCTCGGCTTCCCAAAGTGCTGGAATTGCAGGTGTGAGCCACTGCACACAACTTCTTAATTACTTCTTAATCAACCTGGCTTTCTCTGAGTTCTCAGAGGAATGGGACATTCAAATTTACCTTAAACTCTTTCAAACAAAAACCATGAGAACATATACCCAAGACAAATGCTTTGAAGCTACAGAATATCAAAAGCCATTTTTAGTTGAATTCTATGTAATGATCTTCTCCTCAGTTTTTTTTCTTTTTCAAAGCCTGTTTCCAGCATAATTAGAGAGAAGGCATTATGCTAAGATTCCTAGTTTGTTCTCAAAAATGCCCCTTCTTACTTTCTTGATGCTTTTTTGCATGGCAGAGAGAAAAGGGCCGTGTTGTTGCAGGGTGCCTATAATATGAGTAGAAACATTTTACTTATTGTTAGAAAACTGAGGTTACCTTGGCAGGGAGTTAAGCTACGTTGCTCAGGAAGCTCCCCCTGGTTGCATCATCTCTGGGAATCAGCCCTCGGTTAACCAGGCAGTTCTCCATTTATTGTATTTGTGGCTTACCCTTTAACAGAGACTTCTTTTAAAGGGACCTGGAATAAACCAATCTAACCCACTCTAGAATCGACTTTAAATTTCTTTTATTTACCAAGAGGGAAAGAAATAATCCCAGGTTGTTTGCAGATCAAAAATGTAGAACTGTTAGAAGAAAGGTGCTGTGAAAATTAGCAATGAAGTGAGAAAATGGTTTAAAGGAGACAACTGCACAGCAGCTGCTCCTCCAATGTGTGTTTTGCTGATGAAAATCTTTCTGAGGGGCTGTACTGGAACAAACCCATATTAGGAAAACCCAATTCTGTCTACAGCTAAGACATACACGAAGTCAGTAGCACCTCAGGGTTTTTTTTTTTTCTTGAATATTTCTCTTTGTTGTCTCTGTAACTGAATATATTAGAAAATTACTCATATTTTCCTTTGGCTTCCACAAAGAAATTTAGGTTAAGCAAGAGGAGAAAAGCAATCTCTAATTTGTTTATGGGTCTGAAAGTTTTGCAGAATCTGAGGAGAGAAGGATAAACTTACTGGTAAATAATTCACCTTCCCACCTCTCAAATAGAAACACTCCAGGCACACACAAAAATTCTCCATTTCAGAGAGCAGCCCAAACCATGGCTCCTCTTTAACTGGCAAACTTTGCCCTAGAAGCTCCTTCACCTCTACCCCAGAGAGCTTCAGGGGAACCAGTGCTAGTCCACTCCAATGCCTGTCCCTACCTGCCCACTGCTTCCTAATGACCCCAGCCCTCTGTTGCAGAATTCTCCACTTAGGAGAAAGAAAACAGACACTATTCTCTGCCACCAACTCCCCATCCCAGCCAGCCTCCCAGCACACAAGAGCCTCCACAAAGAAACCATAGTGCAAGCACATTTTCTTACGGAACTATCCCGGATTCCTCCTCTGTCCCATGCCTCAAGACTCTCATCCAAGCACCCTATTTCCCTTCCCAGTGTAGAGCCACACCCTCATCATTTTCAACATTTATTTTTTGGAGACAGATAGGTGTGTTCTTGGTTATTCAACAACTCCATGATCAATGTGGTACTTTATTTAATACGTCTGATTTCACTAATGCACAAACAACCTTGCCTGAGGCTGGTTCTCAGGCAAGTTTGAAGCTATAGAATATTGTTCTGAGGCTGGTTCTTCTCATCTTATATATGGAGAAGCTGAGACTCAGAGTCTCTAAGACACCCCAGGTCACAGTCACTGGCAAGGGCCGTCGCCAGATCTGAGCCTTCTGCGCAGCCCAGGCTGCTCCCAGCTGCACTGTGTTCCGGGTCTCACTCTTCTCTGGGGCCAGCATCTTTATAACACGTAATAATTTTAACTGATTATTTTATGCCTTGGAAGAGCTCAATGTTGAGACTGCGGTTGAAGCTTTCACATCAGGAAATGCTCACACCGTGGACAGGAGCGGGTTTAGAGTCATTCTGTCCTAAGGTCCTCATCCGTGCAGCGAGAGAAGGGTCAGAAGTGAGCAGGCAGAGGACATGCTCCCTGCTAGCTGCTGGCGGCACCAGGGGCTCCCAGCAACGACGCCTGTGAGGGACGCTTTTCCAGACGCATCAAACCCAGCTTTCAGACACTGAGGGTGACATCCTGTGAGGGCGACAGCAGCAGTTATTGGAAAGGGGCAGGGTGAAGTCCTGAAGTACTGATTGCTTAGGCTCCACGCACCATGCTGGGTAGACCCTTTCTTCAAGGCAGCTTCTGAGTTGGACATGCCCATTTTGTGGATGGGGGATGAAGGCTTCTGAATGTTAACTAACCTGCCAAGCTGAAGAGCCAAGAGGATTTGCACCCCAGGCTACCTTCCCAAGCCCACCTTCTGGTCAACCTCCTCATCCCAGGATCTAAGGAACCTGAGGGAAACAAGAGCCCTGTATTAGTAAAGGTTTCCCAGAGAATAAATAGTTATAGATCAATAGCTATGAGGAGATTTATTATAGGAATTGGCTCATGTGGTTATGGAGACCGAGAAGTACTCCCATCTGCTGGCTGCAAGCCGGAGAACCAGGAAAGCCAGTGGTGTAATTTGGTTCAAGTCCAACAGGGTGAGAATTGGGGTAGCCTTGGGGGAGCGGGGGGTGGGGGGGGTCTGTGTACGTCCCAGGGGACTTACAGGGGGTCGGGTGTAAGTCCCAGGATTTGAAGGCCTGAGAACCAGGGCACAGATGTCCAAGGAGAAGATGAATGTCCCAGCTCAAGTAGAGGGAGCGAATTCACCCTTCCTCCACCTTTTTGTTCTATTTGGGCCCTCATTGGATGGTGCCCACCCACACGGGTGAGAGCAGATGTTTGCCCAATCCACTGAGTCCAATGCCAACCTCTCGGGGACAGCCTCACAGACACACCTAGGAATCATGTTCTACCCGCTGTGTGAGTATCCCTTAGCCTAGTCAGGTTGACACATAAATTTAGCCATCTCAAGCCCTCTGTACAAGGCCACTGCCCTGCTCCCTGGGCTGGCTTCTAATGCTGCCTGCAGGCCAAAGCACCAAGATCTTGTCTAGGGTCCCCATCCTCTGAGCCATGCAAGGACATTCCTTCCCTCCTGTCTAAAGCCCTTCACCCTTCTCACCACTCAGCTCCAGTGGCCAAGGCTTTGAGAAGGCGGCAGAGAAAGCCATGCATTCAAACTCCTGAAAGAGGATGTCCTAAGTTTTTCTTGGCTGGAACTAAACCATCCCACATCCATAAATGTGGGATCCCTGCCATCCCAGAATTATCTTACATTCACACTCTGACTTAAGGCACAAACAGAAGCTACTGTCTGACACATTGGCCCTTGGCTGGTACACACAGAGTTGAACCATCTGTTGGGCAGTTTGCCCGAGGCTTGTCTTGCTTTTGGCAGCCCATATTTATCTACAATGGGCCTCTCTGATACGAGGGTAGGCTTTGCTGGAGGCCAGGGTAACAGGGCATGGGAATTAAGCATGTGTCTCCTTCCTTGATTTTCCAAGATGCCTTTACAGAATCCTCAACCTGCTGACACTTGCTGACTATCAAAACACTTCCCTTTTCTACAATTGTACTCACAAATATCAGATAAAGGCAGAAAAGGTTGGGAGCATGGGAAAGAGCTCCTAGCAGCTGTGTGGGGAAATGGACAGCTCCCCTGTGGGGCCTGTGATGGTGCATTCGTATCACAGTCTTGTATACAAAGAGGCCCAGACTATTCTTCCTACTTGCTGGAACAAAGAGGTGGCACATCTTGTTGAAGAAGAAAAGAGCCACAGGCTTAGAGAGAACTTCCACAAGACTCTCCCTGTCCTCTATTGGTGCTCACCCAGCTGAGAATATGTACAATGATATCCTGGCCTGGGACAAAGCAGACCAGGTGCTAAGAGAATGACTGCTGTCACCTGATATCATTGAAATGTTGGGGACAGGGGATCCTCCCTCTGGGCCTTACCAGATACCCCTCCACTCTGCGGCTCCATCTCACTCCTGCTGACTCATCCACCATGGAACAATCCAGAAAAGCGTGAGAAAAGCACTTGGCACTCCTTGTGTGGGAAGACATCATGGTGGCTGCATCCCCCATGGGTGTTCCTATCTTCTGTGCCAGGGCTGCAGAGAACCCAAGCTGTGGCTGCGTCACCCACTGCCTACCCTGCCTCCTCCATTCCCATCTTCACACAGCTGCCAACTGTCTGCCAAAAGGAATAAAAAATAAAAGCAGAGTGAACTTGACATCCTATACTTTCCAGCATTATCCCTGTGAACAAAGTAGAAATGGTGCAACAGCTGAAGGAAAGGACTCAGAGAGGAGAGACTGGAAGATGATGATGATATGTGATGAGTTGGTGAAGTCAGAGTCCAGGAAATCCCACATCAGCAGCATCAATCCCCCTCCTGTACCCAATGCCGAGGGATCAAAACTTGGAGCCCAGGGTTGGAGCCTCGGGATTCTTCCCCAGATCACACTGGCATGACTGTGTGCAACCCTGGAGTCGAGCTCATGTTTCTTCTAGAATTGTAGAATATAAGGCACAATTTATTTTATCCTTTCATCTTCCTGCTTTAAGTTTAGAAATTGCTGGTGGCTTTCCCTTAAAAGGAGTACATTTAAATTTTTTGTATTACGTTCTTAAGTTTCTTAAGGCAAAATATTGATGGTACCATCACCATCTTGGTCTGAAAGTCGTGTTCACATTATAGAAAAGACTTTTGCTAGACTGAGTCTTCCTCAGTCAAAGTTGTATCTTGAAAGTGTATACTAGGTTAAGCAACATTTTTGAAATGTTGTCATACTTTAATCAGAATTTCACACATAGCACATTAAGAGTAGCCAATGGTGAGGTCAATGTCCTTATTTTCAAAACAGCATTTTTCTCCGGTTTATTTTTATGAAAGATCAGTGCCTTGGACATAATGTTCACCTCCATTCAAGAACATCTCTTGATAAGTAGAAATAATTTTTCAGGCAAAAACCTGATGTTCTAAGTTCAATAATAACCTGTTTCTACACTATGCCAAATTCTGGTATGAAGAGAATTTATACTGACATGGTAATTTTTTCACACATTTCATGATTTTAAAAAAATAGTCAGGTGTGGTGACTCACACCTGTAATCCTAGTACTTTGGGAGGCTGAAGGGTGTGCATTGCTTCAGCCCAGGGGTTTGAGACCAGCCTGGGCAACAAAGTGAGACTCCGTCTCTATTAAAAAAAAAAAAAAAAAACTCATAGGATATCCAATAATCAATAGTTCTCTGGTTTCAAATTTCTGCCAGAAAAATAATCTACAGATCAACTTGTCTAAAACAAAAGTCATTATTCATAACAGCTGCCACCAATTTCTAACTATTATGTTGCTGATAACAGCATATAGCAAGTCAGTCAACTCAGTTATTGGGAATATTTTCAGCTATTAATGTTGGTACGTGTGCAGCATGGGGTTAAGACTGTGGGTACAGGATTCATACTTCCCAAGTTCAAATCTTTGTTTACTGTTTACTAACTGTCCAAACCTGGGCAATCGACTAAACTGCAATTTCTTCATCTTTAAAATGGCGATAGCATATTCCTCCTAGAGCTATTGTAAGGATTAAACAGGCAAGTAAGACCTAAGGTGATTATTGCAATGCTGAAAAAACCTTATGAATTTCTCTTATTATATTTCTCAAACTGTGTAGATCATGCTTGGAGAATGAAGTGTTTAAGTTGGTCAACTGAAAATCTTTTCTGAAAATTAAATACCTTTGCTATTAATAAGTCAAATCAATGTTAATATTTCTTCTGTGTATGTCCATAGCCTTGAATTTTTATCCAGCTTATAGCCTGTATCATTTTGTTTGACTTTTTAACAATAGACTTAATTTTTTAAGAACAGTTTTAGAGTTTCAGAACAGTTGAGAAGACAGTAGAATTCCCATATGCCTGTACTGACTTTCTCCCATGGCTATCATCTTAAATTTTACAATTAATGAACCAATATTGATACATTATTATTATTAGCTAACATCCATGCTTTACTCAGATTTCCTTATTTTTACCTAATGTCCTATTTAGGTGCTAGAATCCCATCCAGAATATCACATTACACTTAGTCACCATGTTCCCTTAGGCTCCTCTTGGATGTGACAGTTTCTCAGACTTTCTTTTTTTCTGACGTTAATAATTTTGAGGCACATTGGTCAAGTAGTTTGTAGGATGCCCCTCTATTGGAATTCTACACTTTTCTCATGATTAGACTGGGGTTACGGGTTTTGAGGAGAAGGACCCTGAAGGTAACATGCCATTTTCATCACGTATCATGGGAACATACTATCAACATGACTTTTCACTGTTGATGCTGACCTTGATGACTGCAGGCGTGTTTGTCAGATTTCTCCACTGTAAGGTTACCCTTCACCCCGTCCCTTTACCACACTGTGCTCTTTGTAAGGAAGTCACTATGAGCAGCCCACACTTAGGAGTGAAAATGTATGCCCCCCTCCTTGAGAACACAGTATCTACATCAATTATTTGGAATTCTTCAACACGGGATATTTGCCTTATCTTCCCTATTGATTTATTTATTCAGCAATTTATTTATACAAGTATACTTTGTTTTATAATCCACCATCATTTTATTTATTTTGTTGTTCAAACTGTGTTCCTAGTGTAAAGAAAAGATACATATTTAAGGTGATGGTATCTGATTATCCTGATTTGATTATATGGATGTATCAAATTATCACATGTACCCCCAAAATATGTATATCTAATATGTATCAATTAAATAATCATTCCAGTTTTGTCATTGGGAGCTCTTTCACACACAGAGAACTCTTCTGTGGTCCTTTTGACATATTGCTATCAATGCTTTTTAAAACAACAACAAAAACAACACTTCCTTACTTTCAAGCACTACAAGATGATCCAGTTTCATCTTGTATATTTTCTGCCCCAGTCCTTGATAGCCATTTCTCCAAGGAGCCTTGCTTCCTTTTACTGAAGAATGGCATCAAAAACTGAGATCTGGGAGCTAGGTGTGCTAGATGCTACTGGGTGTTGTTTCATTCAGGTACTTTCACCTCAAGAAGCAAGGAAATATATGAATGTATACTCACCTGTATATAAAACGTATCTATAAATATTTCTATGTGTAACCATTTACATCTATATTAAGCTAGACATGAATTCCTACTGATCTCTCCAACTGTAATTCTTTACCACATGAATCATTCTATTCTTCTAATTCCCTTGCTTATCTGTAGAGTTTCACCCCAAAAGAGAGAAATCTTGTTTCCAACATTTGTCATTCATTTACTCAATTATTTAATTCTAATATATATCTATAAGAGTATCAGAATTATTGACCCATGGGAAACAATATTATCAACTACAGTACAGTGCTTAAATTCAGTTCTTTTCACCTTTAGTATTGCACACTAAAACATTTCCAAAGTTACTGAGGTCAGCATCTTTCTGCCCCCTTCACTTCAATGGGGTTGAACATGATCATTTTTAACCAATAAACAAATAATTGGATGCTATCGCAATACAAAAGGAACTTCATGTTCACACGTCTATACAAACAAACATTTCACTTGTTTAGAAAAAAAAGTAAGTTATAGAATAAAAGATAAAATATCAACATTTTAAATATTTATAAGATCTGATGTAAATTGTCATCAATAAAGTGTTCATATTCCACAATTTTATCAAGCTTGCCAAATATTGTTCATGCAGTCTATCAACTGCAATTCACCTTCACTTTTGCTAATTACAAAAATGTTCTGGCCGGGCTTGGTGGCTCATGCCTGTAATCCCAGCACTTTGGGAGGCCGAGGTGGGTGGATGACCTGAGGTCAGGAGTTCAAGACCAACCTGGCCAATATGGTGGAACCCCATCTCTACTACAAATACAAAAATTAACTGCGTGTGGTGGCAGACGCCTGTAATCCCATCTTCTCAGGAGGCTGAGGCAGGAGAATTGCTTGAACCCAGGAGGCAGAGGTTGCAGTGAGCTGAGATTACACCATTGCACTCCAGCCTGGGTGACAGAGTGAGACTCTGTCTCAAAAGAAAGGAAAAAAAAGTTATCCTTTCTGACCACAGCTTTTAAATCTCCACTTTATTTTTCCTGGGAAATAAACTTTAGGCACTTGAGCCACAGCAAGCCTTGACCTCAGCCTGGAATAAACCACACTAATTTGTTGAACCCTAGGCTGAATCCTCTCTCTGTGTATGTGTATTGCTTTTTTAAATTTACAAATGAAACTAATATTTTCCTACCTTGCCACCCATATCAATATGTTTATATCATCTATACTTACATATTTATATCTATAGTCACACTTTTAAAATTTTAAGTTCCAGAGTACATATGCAGGATGTGCAGGTTTGTTACATAGGTAAACGTGTGCCATGGTGGTTTGCTGCACCAATCAACACATCACCTAGGTATTAAGCCCAGCTGCATTAGCTATTTTTCCCAATGCTCTCCCTCCACCCACCCCACCCCCTGACAGGCCCCAATGTGTATTGTTCCCCCCTCTGTGTCCATGTGTTCTCATTGTTCAGTTCCCACTTATAAGTGAGAACATATGGTATTTGATTTTTCTGTTCCTGCATTAGTTTGCTGAGGATAATGGCTTCCAGCTCCATCCATATCCCTGCAAGGGACATGATTTCATTCCTTTTTATGGCTTCATAGTATTCCATGGTATACACATACCACATTTTCTTTATCCAGTCTATCATCGATGGGCATTTGGGTTGATTCCATGTCTTTGCTATTGTGAATAGTGCTGCAATGAACATACGTGTGCATGTATCTTTGTAACAGAATTATTTATATTCCTTTGGTTATATACCCAGTAATGGGATTGCTGGGTCAAATGGTATTTCTGTTTCTAGATCTTTGAAGAATCACCGCACTGTCTTCCACAGTGGTTGAACTAATTTACATTCCCACGAACAGTGTAAAAGCGTTCCTATTTCTCCACAGCCACGCCAGCATCTGTTGTTTCTTGACTTTTTAATAATCACCATTCTGACTGGCATGAGATGATATCTCATTGTGATTTTGATCTGCATTTCTCTAATGATCAGTGATGTTGAGCTTTTTTTCATGTTTGTTGGTTGCATGAATGTCTTCTTTTGAGAAGTGTCTTTTTCATATACTTTGCCCACTTTTTAATGGAGGAGTTTGGTTTTTTTTTCTTGTAAATGTGTTTAAGTTCCTTGTAGATTCTGTATATTAGACCTTTGTCAGATAAATAGATTACAAAAATTTTCTCCCACTCCGTAGGTTGCCTGTTCGCTCTGATAATAGTTTCCTTTTTTTTTTTTTTTTTTTTTTTGAGATGGGGTCTTGCCCTGTTGCCCAAGCTGGAGTACAATTGCAGAATCTCGGCTCACTGCAACCTCTGCCTCCCAGGTTCAAGCGATTCTCCTGCTTCAGCCTCCCAAGTAGCTGGGATTACAGGTGTGCACCACCATGCCCGGCTAATTTTTTGTATCTTTAGTGGAGATGGGGTTTCACCACATTGGCCAGGCTGGTCTGAAACTCCTGACCTCATGATCCACCCACCTCAGCCTCCCAGAGTGCAGGGATTACAGGCATGAGCCACTGTGCCCATCCTCTGATGATAGTTTATTTTGCTCTGCAGAAGCTCTTTAGTTTAATTAAGTCCTATTTGTCAATTTTTGCTTTTGTAGCAATTACTTTTGGTGATTTCATCATGAAATATTTGCCCATGCCTATTCCCTGAATGGTATTACCTAGATTTTCTTCTAGGGTTTTTATAGTTTTGGGGTTTAGATTTAGGTTTTTAATCCATCTTGAGTTAATTTTTGTATAAGGTGTAAGGAAGGGGTCCAGCTTCAATTTTCTGCATATGGCTAGCCAGTTCTCCCAGCATCACTTATTAAATAGGGAATCTTTTCCCCATTGCTTGTTTTTGTCAGGTTTGTCAAAGATCAGATGGTTGTAGCTGTGTGGCCTTATTTCTGAGTTCTCTATTTTGTTCCATTGGTCTACGTGTTTGTTTTTGTACCAGTATTACGCTATTTTGGTTATTGTCCCCTTGTAGTATAGTTTGAAGTCTGGTAGCATGATGCTCGCAGCTCTGTTCTTTTTCCTTAGGATTATCTTGGCTATATAAGATATTTTTTGGTTCCATGGGAATTTTAAAATAGTTTCTTCTAATTCTGTGAAGAACGTCAATGGTAGTTTAATGGGAATAGCATTTAATCTATAAATTACTTTGGGCAGTATGGCCAATTTTGTAACATTGATTCTTCCTATCCATGAGCATGGAATATTTCTGCATTTGTTTGTGTTCCCTCTGATTTCTTTGAGTGGTGGTTCGTAGTTCTCCTTGAAGAGGTCCTTCACTTCCTTTGTTAGCTGTATTCCTGGGTGTTGTATTCTCCTTGTAGCAATTGCAAATGGGAGTTCATTCATGATTTGGCTCTCTACTTGCCTCTTGGTGGTATATAGGAATTCTTGTGACTTTTGCACATTGATTTTGTATCCTGAGACTTTGCTTAAGTTGCTTATCAGTTTAAGAAGTTTTGGGGCTGAGATGAAGGGATTTTCTAGATATAGGATCATGTCATCTGCAAACAAAGACAATTTTACTTCATCTAAGAGAAAAGAATCAAATAGACTCAATTAAAAAATGATAAAGGGGATATCACCACTGACCCCACAGAAATACAAACAACCATCAGAGAATGCTATAAACATCTCTACCCAAATAAACTAGAAAACACAGAAGAAATGGATAAATTCCTGGACACCCACACCCTTCCAAGACTGAAACAGAAAGAAGCTGAATCCCTGAATAGACAAATAAGTTCTGAAATTGAGGCAGTAATAAATAGCCTGCCAACCAAAAAAAACGTCAGGACCAGATGGATTTACAGCTACATTCTACCAGAAATACAAAGAGGAGCTGATACCCTTTCTTCTGAAACTGTTCCAAATAATTGAAAAGGAGAGACTTCTCCCTAACTCATTCTGTGAGGCCAGCATCATCCTGATACCAAAATATGGCAGAAATAAAACAAAAAAAGAAAACTTCAGGCCAATATGCCAGATGAACAGTGATGCAAAAATTATCACTAAAATACTGGCAAACCAAATACAGCAGAGCATCAAAAAACTTATCCACCACGATCAAGTTGGCGTCATCCCTGGGATACAAGGCTGGTTCAACATATGCAAATCAATTAACGTAATTCATCACATAAAGATATCTAAAAACAAAAACCAAATTATTATCTCAACAGACACAGAAAAGTTCTTCAATAAAATTCAAAATCCCTTCATGTTAAAAACTCTCAATAAAGTAGGTACTGAAGGAATGACCTCAAAATAATAAGAGCGATTTATGACAAACTGACAGCTAATGTCATACTAAATGGGCCAAAACTGGAAGCATTCCCCTTGAAAACTGGCACAAGACAAGGATGCTCTCTCTCACCACTCCTATCCAACATAGTATTGGAAGTTCTGGCCAGGGCAATAAGGCAAGAGAAAGAAATAAAGGGTATTCTATATCCACTCTTACTCAAATTCTATTAAACCCCAAATTGTAAGAGACTATTGTCAAAGCTAAAACAAAATGATGTTGGGGATTTATGCCATATATCACTACAGTGAGGTCAAACTTCAGGAACTGTTAGCTCCTGACAGTTTGAACAAAGAGACATATTAAACATACTGATTTTAAAGTCATCCCTCTGACTTCCTGGACCACCCAATATTTTTCCTGAAGGCATACAAAATTCAAAATTAAATAAAACTGTATTTTTGAAAATAACCCCCACATTTCTAAAATGTGAACGGGGCAGCACAGACGCACATTGACAGCTACCTCCATCATTTAAAAGGGAGTTTCTGAGGCAGTTCTAATGAAGTGGGAATTTTGCAGATAATGTAAAATTCAAAAACACTGAGGAGATGTTAGGTGCAAACATGCCAAGCACATAAAGCAGCATCTGGCAGTTTCCCTTTGGAGGCCTCGTGTGCCAGCATTTCACTTAGATAAGAAAAAAGTCTCCTATTTTCAACAATCTTCTTAAATGCTTTAATTTGACACTATCTGAAAGTGATACTTAAGTTGTGGTAAATCACATTTAATTGCAGCAGTCTACTCTCTATTATTTCACTATTGCTTCAATTTCTCTCTAAGTTCTCAAAGACCCCATGGAAAATAAAATATTCCTTAATGGAAGTGCTTTCATTCTTAGTGACTTTTTGCCCATCTTGGTCAATTATTTTGACATATGCTAAAACAGTAGCAGTCATATTGAAAGGCCAAGGAAAGCTGAAAAGTACAACTCCTCTCTAAGAACATTTGGCTGTGTTTCTATATTACCTGCCTAAAGAGTCTAAATCTTATTTTTAGCCACTCTCTATCCATAGCACCTGGTTCTCTACCTCTAATGTTGGAGTAATGAGTTTGTGAAGTGCCTACCAGCCACGAGGACTAGGGGCTTGGGGGTACAGATAAAGAAGACACAGACCCTGCCCTCCAGGAGGTTGAAGGAAAGAAGGGTGGGCCAATCAGTGCTCCTGAGACAGAGTGGCCCCGCTTCTGAGTCTTCTGTTTACTGAGGGCCTTTGTGCTGGATACTGGGCTGCTCCTCCATATTCATTACTATCTGATATGGTTTGGATCTGTGTGTCCACCCACATCTCATGTTCAATTGTAATCCCCAATGTTGGTGGTGGGGCCTGGTGGGAGGTGATTGGACATAGGGGCACTTTCTAATGGTTTAGCACCATCCTTCTAGTGCTGTTCTCATGATAGACTTCTCACAAGACCGGGTTGTTTACAAGTGTCTAGCACCTTCCCCCTCTCTCTTCCTCCTGCTCCAGCCATGTAAGACAAGCCTGCTTCCCCTTCTCCGTGCTTCCCCTTATACCATGACTGTAAGTTTCCTGAGGCCTCCCCAGCCATGTTTCCTGTACAGCCTGTGGATTCATGAACCCATTAAATGTCTTTTCATTATAAATTACCTAGGCTCAGGTATTTCTTTATAGCAGTGTGAAAACAAACTAATACAGTCCCTCCTGAGAGCAATGCTGTGATGCAGGAAGAGAGCCTTACGTTCAGGAAAGGATGCCTGGTCCTTTGAACATGCTGGTCCTTTTCATAGGTCCGTGGTTCAGGCCACCTTAAAGAGGCAACTTGGGTGTTCTCCATCCAAACTTGGACATGGGAATTTTGAGAAATAAGACTCTGGGCTCTGGAGATTCTGGTTCTCTGGTTATCCCATCTGAAGTCCAGCTACCTCCGGAGAACAGTAAGTGGAGGAATTTGTTCTCAGTGATTCCTAGAGCTGGGTCCCAGTCTTGGGACACAATGGAAGCCTCTTTCTTCTTCATTAGGTCCATCTACTGAAGAGCCTGAGTTTCAGAGGAGTTAGTGGACTTGCTCAGGTCTTGACAGATAGTTGGAGTTGAAAGCTAAGCTTCTCCAGACCATGACAGAGGTTGCTATGGAGGTGCAGAGAAGATAATGAAACTCATGGTGGTTGATGAACGTGGAAGGGGACGTTGGTAAAACAGAGTAGGCACCCCAGAAATTATGCCAAATCATTTAAAAAATTATTTTTAGTAATTAATGCATTCCTTCCCCTATATGACCAGAGTTCTTAGGGTTGGGAGAAATCTTTGATATTATGTGGATCATTCTTGCCTCCCAAGACTGGCAGAGAGGCACTGAGGCTCTCCTTGGTCATCTTTAGGGGTAAAGAGCTCATCCATGAATGGGGCTGGGGGTCCTTGGCAAATTCCAACCACTGGGGAATCACTTATCAAAATTTACAAAGAGGAAACAGGAAGCTCTGTGTTTCCAGCATATATCACTCTTAATTAAAGCTCAGAGAAATAAGATATTCTCTGTGGCGCTACTCAAAACCATGTGCCATGATGAGTTGGCAGGATCAGAAGAAAGACCTTTCTGGATGCCTACCTAGAAGGTTGCAGTGGATACTGGAATTTGGGTTTAGAAAGGGATGCTACAAATAATGTCAAGTTGAGGCTTTCAGTTTGTGTGGGTTAATATTAGCTTGTTGGGAAACAAGTGCCAGGTAGTCTGTGACATTCAAGGCACTGATATCCTAAGAGTAAGGAAGAAATAGTGTTTAACAATATCCATCAGAGCAGTGGGATGTAAGGAAAGGCTACATGTGGTCTGTGAGTCAGCATGCTGGGATTGAATTTCTAACCTCCTGGTTCTTAATTTCCTCATTTGTATAATGAGAGACTTGTTGAAGATCTTGCTAATATTCTACAGTAGGTTTTAATTTTTTTACATACTTGGTGCAAAACAAAACAAAACAAAACCTTTTTCCCCTCAATCTGATACTAGCTAGTCTAAGTCTCCATCCTTCTGGTTAGAGGAGCATTTTCCCTCAGTCATGTTTTCTAGGAACCTCTAGGTGTCATGCAGTCTAGAACCTTCAGGTAAGGATTCGTGGTCCTCTGAACACGTTGGTCCCTTTTATAGGTCCATGGCACCAGCTATCTTGAAGAGGCAATTTGGATCTTCTCCAGCCAAACTTGGACATGGGAATTTTCAGAAAAATGAGGGTTTGGGCTCTCGGGGTCCTGGTTCTCTGGTTAACCCATCTGAGGTCCAGCTCCCCTCTGGAGAACAGCAAGGAGACAGATTTGTTCTCTGTGATTCGTAGAGATGGGTCCCAGTCTTGGGAAGCAATGGGAGCCTCTTTCCTCTCTCATTAGGGCCATTTACACCTTTCCCAACTGTTGATTTATTCCTGCATGCCATACACTGAATCCATTGTCATCATATGCTTAATTTTTCTATCACATAAGCCCTCAGTGAAGGATGTCTTCTGGGTGTCTGAAAAATTCTGTTTTTAACCATATGTAAGTTTATCTTTGGTTGTGTGCTGAACATGGTATTTGTAAAATGCTTGCTGAAGTAATTTGAAGGCAAGGATAATGATACCTTCCTCTGAGGAGGATTTGATTTGTCTTTGCAAGGCACCTCAGGGAGCTTGCAATTCAAGATCAGGGCTTTTTACCAAGCAACTCAGGAATATTTAAAGAACTGAACAATTGATACAGCTGTACAGGTGCCTCCCAGATGAATATCAGCCCTAAATGCCCCCAATACTTAGAAAGGTTAAGTTCTTGTTAATATGACTGTATAACATATCACTCCCAAATTTAGGATTTAAAACAATAATGATTATTTCTCATGGTTTCAGTGGCTTAGCTCAGAAGCAGCTCAGCTGGGTGGTTCAAACTCAGGGTCTCTCATGACGTTGCAGTCAGATGTCAGTAGGAGCTGGAGGCTCCAGTTCGAAGGTGGCTCACTTACAAGGCTGGCAAAATTGTGCTGGTGATTGGCAGGAGCCTTTAATTCTTCTCCATGTGAATCTGTAGATGGAGCTGCTCGAGAGTCCTTGCAGAGTGGTGGCAGGCTTCCCCAGAGAGAGAGACCTAAGAGGTGAAAGATACAATGCCTTTTGTGACCTAGCCTTGGAATTCATACCCCATCACTTCCTCCACATTCTATTGGTCACCCAGAGCCAGCCCTGACTCAATGTGCAAGGGAACTACAAGGACATGAATACGAGGAGGCAGGAATCATCACAGGCTCTCTTGCATACTGGTTACCACATACAGACATTGGGACTTGAATCCAGGCCTCTCTGATGTCAAAGTCCTTGTACCTCACTGTGCTGCCCTCGCCAAGCAGCCTCTTGAATCTGTGAATCCCTCTAAGTGTAATGTCACCTTCAGCCTGCAACAGTACAGAATGGATAAAGTAGTGATATTAAGCAAGTTGTAAGAGAAGCAGAGAAGCCTAGGCTCCTTGAGCGTGGTTATAAAATGGGGACCAGTGAGCAGAGGATGGGCTCAAGAAGAAGAATTCAGAGGAGCTTGGTTAACTTCCCCCAACTGGACATTCTGTTTTTTGCTGTACCTGGCATCAGCTATCAGAAAGTCTCTGTGGCTGAGTCTCTGAGCACTCTTTTATGCCATTAACTACACTTCTGCAAAGCTTCTGTTTGATAGGTTTGGATTTTCTTAGGCAGTCCCAGGTTTTCAGAATAGAAATTGACTTGTTTCTGCCCCCGAAAGTCTACAGCCTACCGTGTGTAACCCCAGCCTCTAGTAACAGCTCAATCCGTGCCAATCCCCTGGAGTCTGCAGAACAGAGTCTCAGTTGGAAACACTGCAATGAGCAGCTTGCTGTTTTTCTCTTTTTCTTCCACTTTATTTTATATTGATATTTAATGACTGTTTCTTTGGTGGTATTGCTATGTTCATTATTTAAGCTCTGAAAATTGAAGCCATAGAAAATAATTGTTGATTCACCACAGGGAGCCATATAAATATTGTTCTAAATTCTAATGACCATGACCATTGGGATTATTTTTTGTGAAGCATAATTTCCATGATTTTGAAAACCCTCAAGTCAGTGTCTTAGAAGGGCAGCTGTTTTCTTGGCTATCTTCAATAGGTTTTTCTTCTTTCTTCATTTTTCCTTCCCTCCTTACCATGTTACACGTCCTCCTTTTATTTCTTCCTTTGTCATTGTATTGGTTTTTTGCTTGTTTGTTTTTGTTTGTTTGTTTGTTTTTGAGACAGTCTCGCTCTATCACCCAGAATACAGTGCAGTGGTAAGATCTCAGCTCACTGCAATCTCCACCTCCCAAGTTCAAGTGATTCTTCTGCCTCAGCATCCCGAGTAGCTGGGATTACAGGTGCACGCCACCATGTCCAGCTAATTTTTGTATTTTTAGAAGAGACGGGGTTTCACCATATTGTCCAGGCTGGTCTCAAACTCCTGACCTCGTGATCCGCACGCTTTGGCCTCCCAAAGTGCTGTGATTACAGGTGTGAGCCACCGCGCCCAGCCTGTATTGTTATTGTTATTACCACTGTTAATATAAACGAAGCCTCAGGACTTAGAGCTTGACAACTAAATAATACCTGTTTACATCATTTTGTATTTTCAAGTTGTTTTCACAAATATCATCTCATCTGATGCACATTATAACTGAGTGATATAAATGGGACAAACTTCATCCCTATTTACAGATAAGGACAAAATGCCAAAGATTTGCAGAGCTACAGGGTTGGTTAGAGCAGGTCCCTCCTCCAAGAGCAGATCTCTCTCCCTTAGTATTATCCCACCCATCCTGGACCTGGGAAACCTAAAGATGCTTTGTGAACGCTTGTCTGTATTTACAGAAAGCTCTGCTAGTTAAAGAAACGACCCCAGACCAAGCTGTGCTCTAAGGGGCTGGTGAGCTCTGTTTTTTTAAAATTACTTTTTTTTTTTCTTTTTAATTGAAAGAATGAGTCAAACATAGAGATGGTTACAGAAAATAATTTGGAACCAATCAGATTTATCTGAGGTGACATTTTGCCATAGATGCTTGAAGTCCATCCATCTCTCTTATGAAATGAAATGTTACAGAAACAGCTCATTCTCTCCCTCCTCACTACTCCTTGCCTCCCTCCCAAGGCTACTCCCATCCTGAGTAGTGCTTTCTTCAGTTGCATGTTGTTCTACTGTTATATACAAGAATGAGTCATAAGTCATATGCCATCAGCTTTGCATTTTGCAAGAATTTGCATGAATATTATGCTATTGTATGTACAGATTTTAGGCTCACTGCTGAACAATGCCCTGGGCTTCTATCATTTTTCCGCATGTCTCTTCTAGCTATGCCTGTTTGGTCTGGGAAAGAATACGGGGAATGTCCAGTTCCCACAGCAGCAAGTGCTGGTTTCCATGACTGTTCCCTAAGAGAGGCAGAAAAGCAGGGGAACTAAGTAAGCTTCACTGTGCAGTCAATCGCAGGGCCACAGCCCAGGTAGATTGTAAAGGCTGATGACATCCCAAGACAGGCTGGAACTTGAACTGACATTTTATAGAGGAAAACCAGGCCCAGATAAGAGAATGGTTGCCTTAATGTCACACTTCCAGAAATTGGTAAAGCAGAGCTTATGACACCTTTGTACTAAACACATTGCCTTTAGGCAGTTTTATTCTTCATCCAGCAAACAGCAGACCATCGATTTGATTGTTTTCTTGCCTCTGCTCCTCTGGGGAAAACGCTGGCAAACTATAAAAGTTCATTCCCTGAGATCCTGGCAAGCTACATTGGATTTAGATGTCTGCTGTTTCTGGGAGGCAGCAAGGATCTGATTTGGGGGGAAGATCAGGTCACCCGACTGAAGAGTACCCCGAAGATCTTTTTACCTGGATCGCCCTCTGGTGGCAGATTCGATAACAACCGCTCTAATTCATCATCTGAAATGCAAAGTGGTGGCAGCTCAAGTTTTCCTTGGTCCTCTTGGGACTTGCTCGTTCCCCATTAAAGCATCCCTATGCCCACTCTATAAAAGACACATTTACTTTGAGCTGCATCCCTGAGATAATCGACTCCAAACCAATATTTCTGTGTGTCAGTCACAGTAACTGGAGCTGTGGCATGGAAAATAAGAACGCATTGTTCCTGACCCCAAGGAATTTAAGTTAACTGGGTGAGACAGGCATACAAGCAGTTGACCCCACTCAGAGTCAGTGTGGCCGAGAATGGACAGGCTGGGGGAATACAGAGGGAGGAGGAAATGAATGTCAGCCACAGAAACCCCAGAGGCCTTGGTGGGGAAGCTAGTGTCTGAATTCTCAAGGAGCAATGGGAATTCTGAGGTCAGGGAAGGACAGGGACACTGGAGGAGGGGAGGACAGGGCATGGCCCCTCCCTCCCTCCCTGTTTCCCCTTCTACTTGGGGCTTTGCTCTCTCTCTCTCTTCCTCTTTACTCACCCAGGTCCCAATAGCCCTACAATTCATGACCACCCGAAGTGTCAATTTTCTGGGAGAAGATTGGGCTCCTTAGCCTCTTCCTACAGATCTTTCTCTCTGCTTCTTCCCACGGGTCCCTCTGACATCTGAATAGAATGACCGAGGCATAAATCCCAATCATCGAGGTTTATTAAGTCAACTTTAGGGTGCTTCCAGAAAAAATACAAGCCACAGGTACATCTGTGGCTGTTTTTCTCAAGAGAGTTTCAGGGGATTTAGTATTTACACATTTCCTTAAATGGGGGAAAGGCATTTAGGAAAAAGGGCAGATAGGTGGTAAGGCGAATGGCTACATTCCTGCGAGACTCTAGCTACTGCCTGGCACATCTACATTTTACGTAAGACAAATTGGATGTTTGAAAAGAAAAAGAGAGTAAAGGAAGAGTCAAGTATGCAGATGTCTCTGGGTAGGTAGAGGAATGAGTCTTGTCTTTATTCTACACCTGCACTCCGATCTAAGCTTGCGATCAACATTATCAGCATGGAATCAAACAGACTTTAATTTTAGGAGCTAGGCTGGGCGCGGTGGCTCATGCCTGTAATCCCAGCACTTTGGGAGGCCAAGGTGGGCAGATCACTTGAGGTCAGGAATTCAAGACCAGCCTGGACGACATGGTGAAACTCCGTCTCTACTAAAAATACAAAAATTAAGGCCAGGCGTGGTGGCTTTTGCCTGTAATCCCAACACTTTGGGAGGTCAAGACAGATGGATTACCTAAGGTCAGGAGTTCGAGACCAGCCTGACCAACATGGTGAAACCCTGTCTCTACTAAAAATACAAAAATTAGTCGGGTGTGGTGGTGCATGCCTGTCCCAGCTACTCAGTAGGCTAAGACAGGATAATCGCTTGACCCTGGGAGGCAGAGGTTGCAGTGAGCTGAGATCATGCCATTGCACTCCAGCCTGGGTAACAAGAATGAAATTCCTTCTTAAAAAAAAAAAAATTGCCAGACATGGTGGCACGCACCTGTAATCCCAGCTACTTGGAAGGCTGAGTCAGGAGAATCGCATGAACCCGGGGGGCAGAGGTTGCAGTGAGCCCAGATCGCATCACTGCACTCCAGCCTGGGCGACAGAGTGAGAGTCTCAAACAAACAAACAACAACAACAACAACAATTTAGGAGCTAAACGTAGTTTGCAGACCTCAAGTTACAATTGGCATGTCCTTGTGTTGCCAAAAAAAAAGGGTCCCAATCCAGACCCTAAGAGAGAATTCTTAGATCTCTCTCATGCAGGAGGGAATTCCAGGCGAGTCGCAGAGTTCAGTGGGGAGGGAAGGTTTATTGAAGGCTACTCAAATTCAGGATAGGGTGTCCTCAGAAAGCAAGCGGAGGAATGCCTCATCTTTGCATTTTTCTTATTAGGAGTCTAGTCTATGTAGAGACTAAGCTAAGCTGTGTCTACCTATGGGTGGGCTGGAAGCATGACCAAATTTATTATTCTGTTGATTTAGAGAAAACTACTGGTGGCTCATGCCTGTAATCCAGCATTGGGAGGCCAAGGTGGGAGGACTGCTTGAGCCCAGGAATTCAACATCAGCCTGGGCAACATAGCAAGACCTTGTCTCTATTTTTAAAATAAAATTTGTTCTATAAAAAAATTAAAAAGAAAAAGAAAACTATTGGCTGGGCGCGGTGACTCATTCCTGTAATCTCAGCACTTTGGGAGGCTGGCCAGCAAATTGCTTGAGCTCAGGAGTTCGAGACCAGCCTGAGCAACAAGGCAAAACCCTATCTCTACTAAAAATACAAAAAATTAGCGTGCATGGTGGCATACGCCTGTGGCCCCAGCGGCGGGGTTTGTGGGGAGGCGGAGTTTGCAGTGAGCCGAGATGACAGCATTTGCACTCCATCGCTGGCAACAGAGTGAGACTCTGTTGGAAAAAAAAAAGAAAGAAAGAAAGAAAAGAAAGAAAGAGAAAGAAAGAGGGAAAGAAGGAAGGAAGGGAAGGGGAGGGGATGGAAGGGGAGGGGAGGGGAGGGAAGGGGAGGGGAGGGAAGGGAAGGGAAGGGAAGGCGGGAGGAAGGAAGGAAGGAAGGAAGGAAGGAAGGAAGGAAGGAAGGAAGGAAGGAAGGAGAGAAAGAGAAAGAAGGAAAGGAATCTATCCTTGACACTTTAGTGTGTGAGTGCATCAAAGCATAACTATAATTATCTTGAAAGCATATACTTTCAAGATAATTTTGTTATGGGTATTGAGACATCTGGACTTTCTGTTGTAGGAGTGTGTCCTCATGGGTATCATGGGCTGTTTCCTCAATTGTAAATATCTTATGACCATAGTTTGTGACTGACAAAAAAATGTGCCTTCCTGGTTTTCAAATGGAGTTGATTTTTAAATGGTATCACCCTGGTTCTCCTATGTTCCTGTTTCCCTTGCTTATGGGAGGCCAGCGAAGAATTTACTTATGAATAATCTGTGGGGGTAGGCCTTTGCAGATGCTTGAGGCCTTTTACCTTTCCATGGGGATCTGGCTAATGCATAATGCTAGTTACAGCTACTCATTTGAAAGTGGGTGTTGCATGACTCAGCATCTGGG